ATGCTCTTTCTCTCTCAAAAATAAAGATTTAAAAAATTTTTTAAAACAGGGGCGACTGGGTGGCTCAATCGGTTAAGCGGCCGACTTCGGCTCAGGTCATGATCTCGCGGTCCGTGAGTTCGAGCCCCGCGTGGGGCTCTGTGCTGACAGCTCAGAGCCTGGAGCCTGTTTCAGATTCTGTGTCTCCCTCTCTCTGACCCTCCCCCGTTCATGCTCTGTCTCTCTCTGTCTCAAAAATAAATAAACGTTAAAAAAAATTTTTTTTAATTTTTTTAAAAGAAGAAAAGAGGGTTTTATCTATTGAACTCTAACAACAATGAGCATTTTAAAACTGGTTTCCAAGGAATCCTACCTACTAGAACTGAGAATTTATGGAAAGTGGCAACCCTATTTGAATTAGGAAGACTGATCTTTCCTGCCTGAACAAAAGCTGTATGTTTGTTTTATCTGGTTGATCAAGAGAAGTAGGGTAGAACAAAAGACAAATTCTGCCAAAGCCTAGAGGAAAATTATTAGAAGAGAGATGCAGAGAAAGATGGAATAAATTCCTACATATTTTGTTCCATCGTGGGTGATGCCATCATAGCTCTGAGAACTAATGAAATATGTGAAGCAGACATGAGAACCCATGTATCTTCTGCTAGCCCAGATATTGAAGAGATTTTAAATAATGTAAAACAATGCCACTCTTTTTATTTTTCCTAAGAAAAAAATCTTAACATGCAATGAGTATATATTTTTAATGAATTAAAAATATTTTAGAATTTTCTGTTTTATTTTTGGTAAATAGCAATATACATATATATATATGTATATATATGTAATATATATATCACATATATACACACACATACATGTAATATATATATTGTACACACATATACATGTAATATATACATAGATATCATATAGATATCATATATAGATATATATATAGCATATATATGATATATATCATCCATATAAGCAAAAGCTCTTTGAGGTCAATAACTTTTAAGAATGTCAAAGAATCCTAAAACCAAAATGTATGAGAACCATTGACCTAAATCATAGTTTAATTTCTTTATTTAACCTTTAACACCCATCTCTCCTATAGCTAGGAGATGCATATTAGAAATGCTTTCAAAGTTTCAATTGTTTTCCTAAATCTATACCAAGTTATAACAACATCCTAGTTCTCTTTCATCTCTACAATCTATTTTTCCAGCCTCAATTCCCATTACTCCTTTTTACATTTATTATACTTTTTTTTTTTTTTAAGATTTATTTCGTTTTAAGAGAGAGAGAGAGAGAGTGCAAGCTGGGGAGGGGCTAAAGGACAGAAAGAGAATCTCAAGCAGGCTCCACACTCAGCACAGAGTCTGACAAGGGCTAGATTCCACAACCCTGGGATCATGACCTGAGCCAAAATCAAGAGTTGGACACTCAACCAAATGAGCCACCCAGGCACCTCTCCATTTATAATACATTGTAATTCACTCAAGAATTTCCTGCCTCTTGGAATGCCCTGTTTCCCCAATCCTCCCATATCTGCATAAATTCCATAATGCCTTTTACATAGTTACCCTGTATCTATCCCCTATACAACTTCCTTAGCACACCTGACCTATAAACCCATTCTGGGGTCAATTCAGTTTTCCTATGTAGCCACTTGTATTCAAAAATCTTTTATCCTACTCACTTTTTTCCTACTCTCTCTTTAGCAGATGTATCCATTCCATCTTACCAATGATTCTTAGTTGCAGATGGAATCTATTATCAACCAATTAACTTGTTCTTTATCTACTCACAAAATATAGTTAAAACATATGTCCCAATTCTCCTAAAAGACTAAATGTTTATCTTTCACCATCCTATACATTTCCAAACAATTCACTTGCCTGTATATTTATCCAAATGAACTAAGAATATTCAGAAAAATATCTGAATGTGACCTAGAGCACGTATGCCAAAAAGTATTTAATAATGTAAAATTCCATTAATCCAGAATGACTGAAAAGGTCTATCTTAGTTAACATAAAATACTAATTATAAATGACATATATATAAGGAAGTATGCTATAAAATGCCATTTTTATAACACAAATAGTAACACAAAAACTATACTGAATATCACTTAATACTTCTTTCATGATTCAGAAAGCAAAGACATGTTAGATCTTGTATTATTAGGTTATCACGTGAACATCAAGATAGAGAATCAAAACGTCTTTAAGGGCACACTGTCTTATACTTCCTTTTACATGCCCTATTGCAATGGCAGAGACCTGGGTACATAAGAGTGTCATAAATACTTGCTGAATTTCATACCATCATTTTGTCAATTAACCTCTCAAAAATGAAATGCACAATATATCCCCCCAAACAACAGAAGGAAATCCACTTTATTTGTTTAAACTTTCCACTGATTTCAATCCTAGGTCAAAGGAGAATTACTATAAATGCTTTTTTGATGAGCCATTTTCATCATTTGAGATGAAAGAGTCAATCTAAAATGATGGCAATATAACTAATTATTTGGCTTTTATCTGGCAAGGATTAGAGAATATGGGAAAAGAACTATCAGGTTCAGTCCAGAATATTTTAAGTGAATGTTAGGAGCCTAAATATCGTGGCTGGAGCAAAAGCTGCTGTGAAGAGCTATGAATGTGCCTTTCAGTGCTATGACCTGTGAGATCAGACAGGCAAGTTTGCAAAAATCCAATGGCAGCAAGGAGAAAATATACCAAAGTACACAAATAGGAGAATATAAAGTAACTGAATCATACCACTGTGTACCAAACCAATTGCTTTATAGAACAAAGTTTTGGAGAATAGAAGCCAAGATTAAAATTTTCAACAGAGAACTAGAGATCATAAAACGTGACATAGTGGACCTGGAAAAACTAGCCAAATAGAAATGCCAGGACCAAAAAGTAAAATAACCAAAATTAAAGATCCATCAATGGACCAGTTTAAAGTAACATATCAGATAAAGCTAAGGAGGGCATCAGCAAAGGAGAAATTATTCAGAATACAGCACAAGAAATAAGAGAATGAAAAATACAGAAGAAAAAAGATACAAAGTTTATAGTAAGAAGGTATATTTTGCATTTAATTAGAGTCCGAGATTTAGAGGAGAGAAAGGGCAGAAGTAATATTTGAAGAGATAATAAGAATTTCCCCTTAACTGATGAATTATTACTCTACATATTTAACAAGCTCAGTGAATTCCAAAGCAAACTAAATAAAAAGAAATCCAAATCTAAATACAAAGTAAGTGCAAAAAACCAGAGAGAACATTTTTGTGAGCAGCCAGTGAAAAAAAATACAAATTACAAAGAAGTAACAATTAGAATCAGACTTCTCTACTGCAATACACAAAAATACAAGTCCTGAGTAAACTGTATTTATTCCAACAAAGCAAGGTTGGTTTAACATTTGAAAAGTCAATATAATTTACCACCCTAACAGAATAAAAGAAAAATCATATGATTATTTCAAAAGATACAGTTAAAATCATAATACCTCTTCATGATTAAAAAAAAAAGAAACTCATAAGCTAGAAGGAACAGAGGGGCTAATAAAGTTTATCTCCCCAAAACCTATACGATCATACTTAATAATGAAAGCTTTCCCTTTGCAAAAAGGAATCAAAGGATGGCTGTTATCTCTGTTTCCATTATCTTGGTAGTGTCAGCCAGTTCAGCAGCACATAGATGATATCAAAGGTACAATGATTAGAAAGGAAGAAACAAAAATCATCATTATTAATGTGATATGATTGATTTTTGTTATCAAAAACACAAAATTTAAGATCTTTACAGGTAAATCTGTGGTTTTCCCATATTTACTTCCCTACATTTGCCATCTCTTTTATCATAGCAACAAAAAGAATTAAGTGCTTAGAAATAAATCTAATAAAAGATGAGGAAGACTTCTACATAGAAGACAATTATTGAGAGAAATCAAAACAAAAATAAATGGAGAAACATACCACATTCATGGATTAGAAGACTCAATATCATAAAGAGGTCAATTATCTCTGATTTTGTCAGACTCATTACAACCACAATCAAAATCCAAACAGGTCTGTGGCTGTACAGAGAGTAACTAGAGGCAATATGACAAGCTAAATCTAAAATTTATATGGAAATGTCAAAATTCAGGAATAGCTAAAATACAAAGCCTTGGAAAGACAGAATGGTTTTAGAGAAGGGATAAACAAAAAAATATAGTAAGTTTATTATTTAGAACAAAAAAGCAGGCTGAGAACCAGATCCACACACACATGGTCAGTGGTTTCTCACAAGGTAGCAGAACAACATGGAGAAAAGATGGCATTTTTGATGCATAGTACTTGGACAACCGGCTATCCACATGGAAAGAATATTGGATTCCTATTGTACATGATGCCCAGATATCAAATTTGAGAAAAGAAAAATAACGAAGGTTTTAGAAGATAATATGGGAAAATACCTTTATGACTCAGAACATAAAAAACTAAGGACACTAAAATTATAAACTGTGAACAGGCAAATCCACAGAAGGGAAAAGATATTTGTAACACATATAACCAATAAGTGGCTCATATACTGAAATACAGAGAGCATATATATATATATTATATATATATAATTATATATTCCTATTATATAATATATATATAATATAAACAATGAAAATCAACAAACCACAGCTGTATGCATTAATATGAATGTCAGAAACATCACGCTGACTAAGGAAAGCCAGACACAAAATACACATTGCATGATTTGTTTTAAATCAGTTTAAAAGAAAAAAGCAATATTGTATATGACCTGAGGTGCTGTCACCCTACAGGGGTACCTGGAAGGGGAGGACTTTCAGAGCAGAACCAGTGATGTTCTATTTCTTGACCTGAGTAGTGGTTACACAGGTCTGTATAACTTTATTGAGCTATTCTCTTATGTTTTATGTACTTTTATGTATGTCCTATTTCATATGAAAATGGTGTAAGGAAATTAAACTAAAAAGCTTACCCCGAGACTAGCATCTGCCCATTATGAGAAAAAGCACAAGCCAGAACAGGAGCACAGTGCCCACTCAGTGTACTTTTATATTTTAATTCAAAACCTGCAAATAACAAGGTGAGAAAAATTAGCAAGCTGACTGTGCTTAGAATTTAAGTCAAAACTATTTCACTTATTCATTTTAATAAAAAAATTAAAAATAATTAAATAATAAATAATGAATTAAATAAATATTAAATAATAAATAAACTTAAATCTTTAAGTGCCTAAACAATACAAAAATGAAAAAAACTCCCCCTGCAACTCAGGTACTGGAATGCAGTGTGATTAAGTGGTTTCAGAAGTTCAGTAATGAATAAAGTAAATGGTGCACTCAGCAAAGGTGCAGAGGATTATAATGATCAAATGCTTTAAAAATTTTTAATGTTAAACTCTATAAAATACATAAAAATATGAAATTTTAAACTAATATAAAATTTTAAAATACAGTATAAGACAATCTTGGCATCTAATTTTTAAAAATATAAAAAATATACATATTGGGGTTCCTGGCTGGCTCAGTCAGTGGAGAATGTAACTCTTGATCTTGGGGTCATGAGTTTGAGCCCCATGCTAGGCATGGAGCCTACTTATAAAGTATATATATGTTAAAAAAATAAAAATACATAAACACATACATATGTACATATACACACACACAATTGCCCAAATGCCTAAAAAGGAATCAAATTGCTCAAATGCCTAAACAAAGATCAGTTTTCAAAATATTATATTAAAAAAATATTTTCTCATTCCACAAATAATCAATGGTAATTTATCCATCTTATAATGCTAATATATAATACTCCTACAAAGTATGGGAACACTAAAATCCTTTTCATACCTTCTATAATTACTGAAAAGAAATAGCACAACTATTTTAAAGGTAAACCCAGGGAATTCAATACATTTTAGTGACAAGCTATAAAAATTATTAGGAAGTTGACCTGAGGAGATAAGGAAATAAGTGAAATCTATTAATTTTCTCAGACCTAATGAAAACTTTTTTGAAGTGTTAATGGCTCTTATGATAACAAGCATTTAATTCAACAAAAAGTCATTAGAGCAGGTAAAAGTTTCAACAAGTAGGAAAAAATATTTGCAGTTTGTAATTTAACTGAAGCTTATTAGGTAACAAATAATCAAATAAGAATATTTTTAGGCATCTGAAGCAAAATGGCCAAACCAATTCTGGAAAGTCAGAAAGCAAATTAACTAATGAGGAGGAAAAAGTAACAGCCCAGAGTGCAAAAGGAGAGGCTATGTCCAAGAATACACCAAAAGACTTAGGACTATCAAAAGCTAATGAAAAGGAAAGTCAGAATGACACAGACATCGACCTGAAAACAAAAAAGTTAGTGAAAAGCCCGTTTATGAAACAGTGTCTACCTTTAATTCCTCCCTGGTCCCACCCATAGCATACTGAACGAAAGCCTGATACTGCTTTCTGAGCAAAATATTTCTAGGGAAAATAACAGCTTTCTGGGGAGCTCCCTGGCAGCTCCAGGGCAATTCCCTAAGCCCCTAAATCCTCCTCAGTAAGGGCCAACAACCCACCCCTTTAATCGAAAGAGAAGCCAGCAACAACAAACCACTGTGTGCATAGACCCTCTAAATACCTTATTTTTGCCTAGTTATTAAATGTAAATGGAAAACAAGGATCACCAGACATTTGAAGAAGGTAACCATATGAAAGAGAAAGATCAGAGTAAACAAACAAACAAAAGGCCCAAGAGCAAACAAAGATAATCAGGAAACCGAAGGGAACAACAAAACAAAAAGCCTCTAATTAATACCCTGAGAGTTTTAAGATGATCTTGCTTTCATAAAATAAAAACAGTAAGAGAAAGAAACAGAAAATAATATGAGCTAATAGAAATTGAAAATATGATGGAATAAAAAATTCCATAGGGAATGAAATTAGGAGGTCCAACGTTCTATTGATGAGAGTTATTAAAAGAGAGGACATGGGGAAGAAATTATTAAAGAAATAACTTAAAGGAACACTTTTTCAAAACTGAATAATGTAAGTTTCTTGACTGAAGGGTCACCTGAAGGAATAGCGCAATACAGGGAGGAACGACCTCCCACACACTATCAAATAACAATCCCTACAGTGAATACATTTAAAATATAGTGGTATAACAATATTTACAGAAACTGTGAGAACCACCAAGAATTGCAAACAGATAAAGTGCAAAGCGGTTACCTCTGGTCAGCAGAAATGTGTGTGGTGATGGTGTTGAGGTCATAATCAGTGATGAGCATCCAATTTTTAAATCATGTATATGTAATTTCTCTGATTAAAATTTATTAAAGCATATTTTTATAATCACTTCTAGATATCCAGAATTCCTTAAGTAAAAAGAATCATTCATATAGAAATTCTATCTTGACTACAAATAATTTTAGAGAACTACTAATTAATACATACCTAAGATATGGGTAAAAGAAACAACCCAAATTTTGATCTGGCAATCCTGACCACATGATGCCAATCGAAAATACTGAAGACCTTGCTCTCCATCTAAAAACGTAAAATTTGTTAAAAATAAATACACAAGAATTGATAAAACATTTAAACCAAAAAATTTCCCACTTCCTATATCGAGATGTTAATTCTATTCATTTAAATCATATTCACAAGAGATATTAACTTTAACCAACATTTCATTCTATGGTATAAGAATTTATTTTCAACAAGGTACTTCAGAAGATTAGGACTCTAACCCCTGAAGTTGCTTCAACAAAATACCTTTTTTTATTTACCTTCCATTAAGGTAACTCAAGGTTCCATGGGCCAATATTGAGCCACTAAGCCTAGAGAATTTTCCAGCCCAATTTTAGAGTCTATGAGGCTAGCACTGATGGGAAAAATTAGGAAGAAAAGTTATGAGTGTTAAATGTTTAATTATTTCCAACTTAACTTTTTTTTTTAAAGAACATACCCATTTCTTTTTTTTTTTTTATTTTTTTTTTTTTTTTAAAATTATTTTTTAGAGATGGAGGGAGACAGAGTGTGAGTAGGGGAGGGACAGAATCCAAAGCAGGCTCCAGGCTCTGAGCGGTCAGCACAGAACCCGACACGGCGCTCGAACTCACGAACGCTGAGATCATGACTGGAGCTGAAGTCGGATACCTAACTGACTGAGCCACCCAGACACCCCAAGAACATACCCATTTCTTAAAAGCTTAGTCTATATTCACATGAAATAATAATCAGATTTTTCCCCGCATTTGATTTAATCAAGACAAATGCTGGAATTATATGAATCCAAAATAACATTAACTCGGTCTATTTTATTTGGTGGAAATTATACAAATTAGGGAAAGTAATCAGTAAATTTGGTGTCATAAAAAAATCCATTAGTTTGTAATGTTTAGTGAGATAATTTCAGTGTATAATTACATACACACTGGATAAGCTCCTAAATACCTGTTGGTAATGTAAATATTGAAATCAACTCAATTTTACATAAGTTCCACCCAACATCATCACACATGTAGCTTCATCAAAGGAAGTTTGGGCTCGGATATGTATTAAGATACAATTAAATGGGTAAGCACAGGGGAGGTTCATCTGAAGTGATTTTTACCTGAAATCTAAAGGATATCTAAGAGTAACCAGGTGAAGGGTTCACATGTAAAACCCTTGGAAAAATCTTACAAACATTCAAGGAATGAAAGGAGGCCAGTGTGGCAAGAGAATGCATGAGGCCAAGTGTGCTTTAAGAGGCAGGGAAACAGAGTGTGTCAGGCTTTATGTTTTGGATTTGGCATTTTCTCTTACCTTAAACTTATTTTAACCATTCACTGATAGGTTTGAAATAGGGAAGTGCCAAAATGATCCTGCCCACCTTCTGGCCCTGCGCTGTGCAATAAAGGTAGTCACTAGCCACATGTGGCTCCTGAATGCCTAAAATGTGGCTAGTATAAATTGAAATGTGACATAATACACACACCAGATTTCAAAAACCTAGCACCAAAAAGTAGTAAAATATCTTAGTGTTACTATCGATTACTGAAATATTTAATATATATTGAGTACAATTAAAATATATCATTAAAATTAATGTCACCTACTACTAAAAAATTTTAAATTTACAAACGTAGCTCCCATTATACTGCTAATAGGACAGCACTGGTGGTGTAACAAGACTGGAAGCAACAAAGGCAGAACTCCCATCCTAACACAGGGGATGAAACAGAAGAAGAAAGCTTCCCAACTCACAGCTATCTATTTAAAACCAAGAGTCTATCTATATTCAGGAGTCTGTACTTCTTCTAAAAGCTAATTGTGTTGTTAAACATGTCATAAATTTAGCTTTTGCTTCAAAGATTAAATTAGTAAACTTTTGAAAATTTAGCTTCTGTTTCCAATTTTTTTTTAACTTCACATTTCTCTTTGAATATTAACATACTGTATTTTAAAATAGGGTCAAGTCCTCTAAATTACCATATCCAAGGAATCCAGATGTACTGTACAAAGCTGAGTCATCACCAACATATATTCAAGAACCTGATTTTCCCCTATCATGTTCTTTGTGATTTCATTTTGATCAAGAGAAAGGAGAATGATTTCCTTAAAAGGAATGAATTAAAGGGGCTTCTCATTTTACTAAAGGTGAAATGAAAATGAATAAAGAACCAGAAGTCATATACAAATTACAAATAGGAACCACTAGTGCTTAAAAGAGTAAAATAACTAACCAGAAACTGGCTGTGAAGAAAAATCACAGCAGGTAATTCCAAGATCATGTGCTTTTTCACTATGCAAACACCTCATTTTATCATCCCACACTGTTAAATCTCCACACGAGGAGCCAGTGACAAAGAGGTTTCCATCAGGAGAAAATGCACAGGCCACCAAGGAGCCATCCTTAACACTACCACACCTGAAATAAAAGCAAAAAAATAAATAAATAAAAAGAAGAAGAAGGGGGAGGTTTTCATTTCAGAGTATCTTTTACCTTATATTACAATTTCTAACAACAGCTTGATATAGTAAAAACAGGAAAAATGGCTATCTGAGAACTAGAAAGGGCAGATGTCTATATAAATAATCATACACTTAAAAAAAAGAGGCTCTAAATGTTATCTTAACTAACGAATTCAAGCCTAAGCTATACAGATCTAAACCAAAGTCCATGTATCTTCGTATTTTTCCAAATGGCAGGTCTGTATGAACAGGTTAAAATCTACAAAACTTAAAAAAAGCTCTGACAACCACTACTATCAACCATGGCCACATATTTCTTAAAAACCTATTCTTACTGAAAAACATGTTGTTAGGGTCAAAAGTACTTTCAACTTTAGTATTAAAAGAAGCAACAGTGAAATCTTTTATTTTCAAGTATGAATTCTTTATGAAAAGAAAATTATCTTGGGAAGAAAAAGAAGCACTGTGCTGACAATATTAATTATTTTCTCAATTAGGAAAAAAAACTGGTAAAAGCCCATCAATTAGTGCAGTGTCCCATCCAGCACTTGAATCTGCAGTGTATCATTTTACAACATACATTAGGGTCGTAATGCCAGAGGGCCAGAAGTCATCATCTGATAAGTGAAAAGGAAAATTCCTTAGTTGACCTCTATATTTCACGCATGTAAAAAAGATGTCTGTATGGAAACCAATTTGACAATAAATTTCATATATTGAAAACATAAATAAATAAAAAATAAAAAAGATGTCATTCCTCCTGCGCATTCTCTTTAAACTATTCATTAACACCGTTTAAAACACATGACCTCCTTCAATCAAAAGACCTAAATCTAATGAGCAACAGTTGTTTACCAGCTGGCATGTGCTTTGAATGATGCTGGGGGGCAGGGAGGAGAAAGTATACTGGGCTATTTTACTTGGTAATAGTGAAAAGTTTATGGGTGGCTCAGTCGGGTAAACGTCTGTGTGACTTGATTTTGGCTCTGCGCTGACAGCGTGGAGTCTGCTTGGCATTCTGTCTGTCTGTCTCTCTCTCTGCTCCTCCCCAGCTAGTGCATGCAAGCTCTCTCACTCTCTCTCTCAAAATAAATGTTTTTTAAAAAAGAAAGAAAAAACTACTCAAAGGGTAAACTTTTTGTTATATGTATTTCACCACAATGTACATAAAAATACATAGCTTTCATGTTGGCAAGTTGCAACAGAACATTACCAGTGTAACATAATTGATGTATTTTTATCTAAAAGGAGTTTTCAGGGGCGCCTGGGTGGCGCAGTCGGTTAAGCGTCCGACTTCAGCCAGGTCACAATCTCGCGGTCCGTGAGTTCGAGCCCCGCGTCGGGCTCTGGGCTGATGGCTCAGAGCCTGGGGCCTGCTTCCGATTCTGTGTCTCCCTCTCTCTCTGCCCCTCCCCCATTCATACTCTGTCTCTCTCTGTTCCAAAAATAAATAAACATTGAAAAAAAAATTTTTTTTTAAAAATTAAAAAAAATAAAAAAAAATAAATAAATAAAAGGAGTTTTCAGTTGTTTTTCGTTTGCTTGTTTTTTTTAAATGTAACACAACACTACACTAATCACAAGGTTCTTTTATCTGGGGTTGGGGTTGATTATTCACCCAGCAAGAATCCTAGTCTGGAAAATAGCTGTGTCTCTTTAGGTGAGACTTACCTACCATTAGTCTATTATTGAGAACACCTGGGTCATGAGTGACAAAAATAAAGCCTAAAATTACTGAACCTTATTCAAAAGGCCATTTTCTTCGTCTAGCTCTTAAAGCCAAAATCCATAAAAGTCTAACAGATTAATCCTTATTTTACAAGAGAAAGATTGGAAATATAAAACTCTCAGAGCCAAGCAGATCTACTATAAGAACCACTTACACATCTGTTTTTATGTCCTTCAGAAATCAAGTCAAAATGTTATTCCTTGTGGTGTCTGAAAATTATCTGCTTCTTCAAGTCATCAAAATATTCTGCCTTCTATTTTTATTTTTTTGGTAGACTTGTTAATAGCATTTAAATATTCATACCTATACAACTTGTACGACTGAGCATTGTACTATTTTAATTTAAATATTAAAGCAGAAAGGATTTAAACGTTCATACCTATATAACTTGTATGACTGAGCATTCCACAAAACAACAGTTCCATCAGCTGCGCCTGACACCAAACAAGTGGAGTCTGGGGAAAACTGGCAAACCCTCACGGGGCTACCACTGGGCTGTTCCATCACTGCCAAAGGCTCTCCATTTTGAGTATTCCATAGGACAGTGGTACCGTCTGTTGAACAGGAAGCCAAAATATGTCCTGAAGGGGAGAAACAGCAGCAGTGGACAGCATAGGTGTGAAGCTTCAATGGTGAGTGGGGCAGTTCAGTAAAGTCACTGAGGGAGTACAGGCGAATTGTTTTGTCCAAAGAGCAAGTGGCCAAGAGGGAAGAGGAGAATGCACAGCAGTTGACATCATCACCATGATCAGCTAATGTGTGGATTAGTTTCACCATGTTTCTTATTTGAAGTAAAATGTCCTGCAATTTTTAAATAAAGATTACTTCATCGTCGGAATCAAATAAATACAACTCACGTCCACACAAAAGAGTCAAAATCAATTCAAGAGTTTTCTCAGAGATGGCTCCTACATTAATATTTTTACAAGACAAACTATTATACTTGAGATAAAAATAATTGGGACAGAAAATGCCAATAAGACTGTAAACTCTAATGATGATCACAGTCACAACCGGCACACCAATAAAGTTCCATAACTCTTGAAAAAGAACCTTGTTGTGTAAGTTCAAACTGATTTGATACTGAACATCCAAAACCTTGAGTATGTATTTCACCTCTGAAGCCTTTCCCTTAACTAATTACTTCTCAAAGATGCCTCATTCCAGATTGGCTACTCTCAACTCAAAAAGATTTTCCATTCTTAAGAAACTGTTTCAGCTGCTCCTTGCAGAGGATGGAGGCAAGGCTAAAGCTCTAAGATGCATTTAACTGCACGGTTCACTCATAAAAACTAACAAACGGTTTCATTCAAAATTTCACTGGCAGTGTTGAGAGCTCTCGTGGTCCACCATCTTGCTTAATAAAGAATAAAATGATATCGAACACTTGAGGTGAAGAAACAATTTAATAAGTCAAGGAAACCAAGAGAAGGACACCAAAGAGAAAGAGTGGCAATAAGGACTTAGCCAGACTGCGCGTAAGAACAAATTTACAAATTTAGAATGAAATCCAAGCCCTTTGTCACTGCTTACAAAATGTTATATGATCTGGCTCTTGCCTGCTTCTCAGATCTCAAGTCCTGCCACTCCTCCTTTCCCTCATTTCCTTCCAGCCTCCCTGATCAAATGGATTTGGTCCTAGCTCTCCATAAAGTTGTTTTTCCATGTTGAAATTCTCTTCCCTTTGCTTTTGGGATCTTATTTCTCAATGTAAATTCCAAGGGAGTAGAGATCTTGTCCATCTTGCTCATTTCTATATCCATAGCACACAAAACAGTGTCAGGCACCTAACATGCTCAAATAAATACTTATTGCATATTTTTCCCCAAATCCACTTGAGTTTTACCTTTAAGTATCATATATGAACACAATATAAAGTTATTAGAAATTTTAAAATAAATCTACCAATAGTAAAAAAAAAAAAAATCCAGCAGGGGAAAAAATAATGCAAAATGAAACAATAATCGGCGCTGAAATACTCTTAGATTGTAATTCATGATCCCTTGTTAAATGTTACTTACAGAATTCTTTACAAACATATGGAGCATAGCTTTACCAATATTTATCATAGCCCAAACTTCAGCATTTTTCCAAACATAAACTTCAATAAAGTCTTAAAAAAAAACAACAACAACAAAAAAAAGCAAACCACATTATGTCTTGATAGATTGTCACCTGTACTAGCGCACTGAAAACAAGCAAGATCATGCGGTGATTTCTGGGAGAACTCCCAAATCCCAACTGTGCAGGTACACATAGGTGATCTTGCAAATAAACTTTGGCTTCCACACCCTTGTGGCACTCAGCTCCCTTTGCAGTTCCAGAACAAATAGCGACATTACCACTTGAAAGAACAGCCTGTTTGGAAGAGCTCTCTCAAGCCTACCGCTTCCTGCCTCCGGGTGTGGGCGTCACCACTCAGGGCTCAGCTGTCACTCCAGAGGTTCCATCCCCGGGCCGGCCGGTGAACTCGCCAGTGTCAACACACGCATCCCTATCTAATCCAAAGCAAACCGGGGATATGCCCCAAATCTCCCCAAATAAAGCCCACGACTTACTCCCCCTGCACGTAGGGACCAAGAGTGTGCCCTAATCTGAGAGCCTGCCAGGCCTTAGCGGACTGAGCCACCCAGGAAGGAGGGCTGCCGGCTGGCCGGCGAGGAGTCAGGCCTTCCGGGGCGCAAGGCGGCTTTTGACTCGGCCCAGCTGCGGCTTCCACGCAACGCCCGCAGTCCCCGCCCGGCTCCCGGCCCGGGTCGCACGGCCGCGCCCTGCTCCGGTCCAGGTGCTGGCTGGCCCCTGTCGCGCGCTAGGAACCAGATTCCGAGGACCAGAGGTTCAGACACCCCGAGTAGGGAGGCTTCGCCGGCTGACCCCAGCCATGCTCCCCCACCTGCCTCTGTCGCTGCTAAACCTGTCCACGGATGCGGCCACTTCCACCTGGAAGACCCAGGGCCTGCGGAATCCGCCCTCAGGTGCCCACGGAGCGGCGCGGACCACGTGACACGCAGGTGAGGCGGGCGGGGCTGGCAAACGCGGAAATCCAAAGAGAATGGAAACGGGCCCCGCCCCCCGGGCCCGCCCCTCGCCGCGGCGCATGCGTGCATTCCCTCCCTTCGCTGCGGACGTCCCTTACTTCTGGCGCCAGTTCCAGATGAGTTCAGTTTGGGGAAGATCCTTTATTTACAGGTGTTTTTTTTTTTTTTTTTTTTCCTAGTTGAGGAAACTGAAGTCCCAAGGCCTAACGAGCGCCTGAATATGGTTTTAAAGGTGGGATTGTATCAACTGTCTGGTTATTGCAGTTCAGGGTTTTTGAAGCTTCTTCCTCATTTCTCGTGTGTCTTGTCTGTTCTCCTCTGACCTCCGTGATTCTCTTTTCTGTTTAGGCTAGCTCGGCTCTCAGCGGTCCATGACTTGGTGTTTTCTGTCATCGTCTTCGTGCTCAGGTTTCCTACATCTCTTCAGGGCAGCCTGCGGTTCCTGCGATTCCTGCTGTTCCTGCTGTTCACTGGACAGGCCCCTGTGGATATCCTGGTATCACCTTGAAGCCGATGTTCATTTCCTCCGACCTTTTTGAGTGTGTCTCCTGGGCTCACGAATGAACCGTGGTTTCGCGTGTAATTGACTACAAAGTCGGCCTGCCAATCACTTTTGAGATTAAAAGGTTGTGCAGAAAAACGTTCCTAAGCATGCTAACGCTTGTTAACCAAGTGCAAGTACAGGATAAGTACGTGACATTATAGGGCTCCCAGATGCAAAATCAAAGATACAGACAACTTTTATTTTTAAATTTTCTTTGTAAAGATTTTAAAACTAATATTTAAGGAATATAGTGAACTGTTGAAACTTTGAAAGCTGCTAGTGATTTTGCTAGTTATTAGTAAGTATATATTGGCAAATTAGCAACCTTTAAGAAAAAAAGTCAATATAGTTTAGTCACATAAATATAATTTTGCTATATAACTTAATTGTAGTAACATCAATCAAAACACATAATTTCATGCCAGTGACACTGTGGGCACATTGTGAATAAACTACTACAATCCTGGAACTTAGATCAGTTTCAAACTAAGCAGCATATACAGGACACCTTCTTGTTTCAGAATACATGCTGCCTTTTGCAATGGTACTTACCCAGTCCTGTATCAGCTTACACTGGCTATTGCTATTGCTATAATACAGAGACTATCCTCCTTAAAAGGAAGATTAGTTACATATTGAATAGAGTTATGAGGCTGTTAGAACCTAACTGAAGCTTCTCTTCTGGTAAATCATTGAAGTAATACTACAAAACATAGCTTTTAAGAGAAGTCTTTTGTTTTCTGTTGATCAGACTTGTTTTGTTTTTAAATTAAAAGCATATCCATGGGAATGCAAGCTGGTGCAGCCACTCTGGAGAACAGTATGGAGGTTCCTCAAAAAACTAAAAATAGAACTACCCTACGACCCAGCAATTGCACTACTAGGCATTTATCCATGGGATACAGGTGTGCTGTTTCGAAGGGACACATGCACCCCCATGTTTATAGCAGCACTATCAACAATAGCCAAAGTATGGGAAGAGCCCAAATGTCCATCGATGGATGAATGGATAAAGATGTGCTATATATATACAATGGAGTATTACTCGGCAATCAAAAAGAATGAAATCTTGCCATTTGCAACTACGTGGATGGAACTAGAGGGTATTATGCTAAGTGAAATTAGAGAAAGACAAATCATATGACTTCACTCATATGAGGACTTTAAGAGACAAAATAGATAAACATAAGGGAGGGGAAACAAAAATAATATAAAAACAGGGAGAAGGACAAAACAGAAGAGATTCTTAAATATGGAGAACAAACTGAGGGTTACTGGAGGGGTTGTGGGGGGGGATGGGCTAAATGTGTAAGGGGCACTAAGGAATCTACTCCTGAAATCGTTGTTGCACTATATGCTAATAATTTGGATGTAAATTTTAAAAAATAAAATTAAAAAATAAAAATAAAAGCATACCCAGTTTGCAGTTATGTGAGGGAGGTAATCTATAATACAGTCTACTTTAAGAATTGTTTTATAAAATCAGCCATCAGGAGATAGCTTTTATTTTTAATCCATGCAACTTTAGAGTTTAATGAGGGAACATTATAAAAAGAAAATGAGGAAACCAAAGTCATATATTTGACCTAGCACCTAAGATGCTCATTTTATTTTATTTTTTTTTTAATTTTTTTAACGTTTATTTATTTTTGAGACAGAGAGAGAGTGAGAGTATGAACAGGGGAGGGTCAGAGAAAGAGGGAGACACAGAATCTGAAACAGGCTCCAGGCTCTGAGCTGTCAGCACAGAGCCCGATGCAGGGCTCGAACTCGCGGACCGTGACATCATGACCTGAGCGAAGTCGGACGCTTAACCAACTGAGCCACCCAGTCGCCCCTAAAATGCTCATTTTAAAGATGAACTTGAGATCACTGGAAATTATTTGTAATGAGAAAGACAAACAGAAAAGGGACAATCAAAATTCATGATTTTGAGATGCTCCTGTGATTTTTTAATTAAGGAGTGCATCATGACTGAGATTTTGGACACCTAATTACATGCCAAAGTATAGCCAAAACAGTATGTTTCTAAAAACAACTTTGTGACTGTATGAATAATAGAGCTCTTTGTAGGAAATAAAGGAAATATAAATAAGAAAAATAGCTAATAATTGCATCACTCAAAGATTACCCACTCAAAGGGTATTCTGCTAAGTGAAAGAAGTCAGAGAGGGAAAGACATATACCATATGATTTCACTTACATGTGGAATCCAAAAAACAAAAGAGAAACCAACTCACAGGTACAGAAAACAAGCTGGTGGTTGCCAGAAAGTGGGGGAAGGTGGGAGATGGGCAAAATGGAGGGGATTAAAAGATACAACTTCTAGTTATAAAATAAGACACAGGGATACAATGTACAGCATCGGGAATATAGGTAAAAATATGACAGCTTTGTATGGTGATAGATGGTAGCTAGATTTACAGTGATCACTTCATAATGTATATAAACGTTGAATCACTGTGTTGTACCCCTGAAACTAATATGTTGTGTGTCAACTACACTTCAAAAAAAAAAAAAGAAAAGAAAAGAAAAGAAAAAGCCCAGAGATAATATTTCCTTTCAGTCTTTCATTCATATAAATATCAATAATTTTACAAAGTCCTGCAAACTTCCTTTTTAAACTTAAACTTATATCCTATTTTCCATGCTTAAAATTTCTCCAGTAGCTTATTATTCTGTATAATAGTTCACATTTCCAGCAACAATTTATTTAACATTTCCCGTTTCAGTATTTTTGTGATTATAAACAGTACTGGATAAGACGGCTTTGTACATAAACCTTTATCCACATTCATGAACATTTACTAAGGAAATTGTTAAATAGAAATAGAATTCCTGGGCATAAGAGTGTAAAAATTCCTAATAGATACTGCCATATTGCTTTTCAGGGGGGCTGTATGGTTTGTACTTTAGGCAACATGTGGTTGTGTCTGTTTCTCCACACTCTTGACAGACTTGAGTAATATTTAATCTTCACTAATTTGATGAGCAAATTGGTTATAATATTCTGTAAGTAAAATATGTAAAACAACCCCCTGTATACACATGACAGTAGTACAGCACAGAGACCTTGAGGCTAATATGGTTAGCTGCAGGGAAAGGCAAGTTCAGAGACGGAAGCCTTGCTGTAGCTGTTCTCTAGTCTATGAGTTTGCACTTTTGTGAGATATTAAAGTATCTTGCCAATAGTCTAGAGAAACATTGTAACAATTCGTAGAGATCATTGATCACATAAGTGACTGGTTATTTTCTCTCACAGGACAGAGTCTCAAAGTAGTTGGAACTTCAACTTAGAATCTTAAAGATTCAAATTTGATGCATTTTTCTTTAATTATGTAACTGTGAGCAATAATCCTATTTTACCTTTATTTTCTAGTTGTTCCTTGTAATAATGCTACTTAAGGAACATAGAAGAACTTTTAAAATGATATATTTAAAGAAAAACTAACTTTGCAATTAAATAGTTAGCAATACATGCTCTCGAAATACAATTGCAATGGCAATGGAATGGGTGAGAATCAGTGAGTGAGTACAAAAATATATGGTTGAGGGTAGCCAAGAGCTCAAAGGAGGGAGACATGATAGGAGCTGGAGTGATTAGAACAGGTGGGCATAGGAATGGGTCCTAAATTAGCTTGAAGTTTGGACCAGCTGAGAAGTGAGCTTAGGAAATTACCCAGTTCCACAGTAACTACTCAGGAATGTATTAGGGTTGTTTCACTTTGCCCTTTCCTCTTCTTTAGTACAAGAAGTATTTTTCTTGTTTATGAATTTTTAAATTCTAAGTACCATAATTTATTTATTTATTTATTTATTTATTTATTTATTTTTAAAATTTTTTTTTCAACGTTTATTTATTTTTGGGACAGAGAGAGACAGAGCATGAACGGGGGAGGGGCAGAGAGAGAGAGGGAGACACAGAGTCGGAAACAGGCTCCAGGCTCTGAGCCATCAGCCCAGAGCCCAACGCGGGGCTCGAACTCACGGACCGAGAGATCGTGACCTGGCTGAAGTCGGATGCTTAACCGACTGCGCCACCCAAGCGCCCCTAAGTACCATAATTTAATTAAAAACTTTTCTTATTTCTCCTGTGTCATTTTCTCAGTTCTTTATTTTCTAATGTCTTTTTATTAACTCTCTTTAAGAGAATTAAAGATGTTAAAAATGCATTTTTGAAAAAAACACCACATTTTTGGTTTCAGATTCATGTTTTTTTATTACATAAGAAGAAAATGTGATGGACACGATGTCCCTTATGGACAGTAGTCCTCTGGAAAATTCTCCAGAAGTCCCCTAGTAGACTTTCTCTCATCTGTCACTGCCCAGAATTGTATCACTTGCCCTTTTGTGAAGCACTTTCAAGAGGTGTGTACTTGCCACTTTGGTGTACTAATTAAGAGTTACATTCCTGGGGCTGATA